CTACGGACTGAGCCACTTTGCTGTACTACCATAAGGTAGAATCGATCTGTATATAAGCTGCGCTTAAAATTTTAGAGCCTTTTTTCTCGGAATCTTCTGGCTAGTGCGCTTTACAATTCTTCTGGGTGGACACCCTTGAGGTATACTACGAACCTGCCAAGTCTCATCCCGAACTGAATTTCTGAGACCGTAAGGTCCCGTTGTAAGCCATTTTTGGGATGAGACTATGTCTCAGAGAACACAAGCAATGCATACACAAATCTTGCACTCGCACCTGCTTGTAGAAACAGTCTCAGCATTTCATATTTTCTTTTGACCCAGTTCTCAGTTCCCTGACTACCTACCAGTTTGTTTTATTTTATGTGCATATAATTTGGGCACCAAATACTCTGTGCCAAATTGCAATTCCTGACATCTACTCCTTCATACCTCTAAGGTGTGCAGCCATTGACAGCAGCGTGATTTTAGAGACGAGACAGTCTTATCAACAATAATTTGAGTGATTCATGTGTTTTACATGAATTAAATATTGTTTAAAAAATCCAAAACGTGTATTATACTGTAATACAATTTTGAAATTTGTGTCATTGTAGCCATTATTTCCTTATATCATATTTGAATTTATTTTATTACAAATTTCATGTATAGTAATACAAATTTACATAATGTATAATTTTGTAATAGGTATATAAAATGCAAAATGTAGCTATAATAAAATAGTAATAAATTAAATTTTTAAAATCTAATTTAAACTTTTGTTGCAAACAAATTTAAAAAGACTGACAAGTAATGAATAGTGAAATTTAAAAGAAAAATATTTTTCAATTTTATAATAATTGTACAGATAAATTTTTAGAATTAAAGATGCTTAAATTTATTTATATATTAATAATTAGTGATGGGACGATTAATTTGAATTGGGAATCTGAAAAATTGAGCATTTTCCAGGAATCGGAATCAAGCAAATCTTGTCACAATTTCCAATTCTAAAAACAATTCTTTCACATTTAATAAGAAAATTAATTATTTCTTTCAGTTGAAGATTAATTTAAAAATTTTTAAATCGCTATATTAATAATTAAGTATTAATTAATTAAGTAATTAAGTATTATTGGAAGCTTTCATGTTGATAAAGCAGAAAGTACATGGCACCTCATACACTGTCTGTCACGGTGGACTTTTCTTTCGTGTAGTCAGAGCAATGGGAGATTACACTTGGTCAGTACTAACGGGCCCCCATTTTAGGAAAGATGGGGTGATATTTGGGTTGTCCCAGCTGTCATTGGCCTGGCTTGACCAGCAATTTCAAATCAAGGCCTGTGGTTAGCAAAACAATTTAAATTATAAACAAAATTATATTTTAATTGAAAAAATATTACATAAAGTTATTTTTAATATTCAGTATGTTTACTTATAATGATAAAATGACTTTCTCATTATAATTATGAAAATTTTTGTTATGATTCACAGATGATGCTGTAATATGTTAAATTTTCAAATGTAATTTTAAGTAAAAATACTTGTTTGTGCTAAGTTTACTGCCATTTTTTGTTTTAAAAATTGATTTTTCAAGATGAGTAGGTCTAGACATTTGTGGCTCAAGTGAATGAATTCAAAAATGAGTTGACTCATGATGATGATATTTTTTCAGCTCATTGCATCATTTGCCAAACCTTATTTAGTAAATGCTTTAATTCCATTGTATTTAATATATGATGGAATTAAAGCATTTACAAAGCATGCCAATTGAAAAAAGCATGAAAAAAGAAGTTCATCTTCCCATTTACCTGCCTCTCCTCCCCCTGGTCGTCACATCGGCCAACAAAGCAGTTTCCAAAATTGGTGGCCCTAGATGATGATATGGGATAATTCTTTGAATAAAAGGGAATTAGCTGTAATTTCTTTGAGGGTAGTGTTGTAATATTAATTTCATCTGAAATAAGACTACATATTTATTTTGTAGTATACAATAAAAGCATGCATATACACACAAATGGAGAAATTTTGGGTTCCTTTCAAAAGATTGATTCTGGATTTCCCAATCATTTTCCATTCATAAAGTTGATGATTATTAACTAATGAATGTACTGTGCTCATAATGCAAATCATTACTTTTTTCTAAACTAAAATAAACTTTAGAAGGTATTCAGAAGAATTGGAATTGGGAGAAATTTTGGTATCGTCCCATCACTATTAATAATACTTTATTTTGACTAATCTTTTGCTCTTTTATTTCTGACATCAGAATTGCATCAGCAAAGATTGACTGCACTTCGTGAATTGGCAGATAAACTCCAAGAAACTTCTTGGAAATACCCCTCTATTGATCAACTGCTTGGACTATAAGTAATGTAAAATAAATAACTGTCATCAATCAAAATGGCATTCGGAGGATCAATAGTTCTAAGCTATCATGATTCTTTGCTTAGAGAATCGGATTTGAAAATATTATGTGGTCCGCATTGGTTAAATGATAATCTCATTGGTTTCTGGTTTCAATACCTAGAACACGATTTATATCGAGAAAATGCAAATCAGATAGGATTTATTAGTCCAGAAGTGACTCAGTTTATTAAATTAGGAGTGGTGGAAGATTTACAAAATACTTTGTCATCTTTAAATATTACAAGTAAAGAGCTGTTATTTCTTCCCATCAATGATTGTTCTTTTCAGGACAGTCCTGGAGGGTCACACTGGAGTTTGTTAGTATACAGAGCAAGTTTTCATATTTTTGAACATTACGATTCTCACACAGGCAGTGTTAACAGATTACATGCTGAAAATGTTGCCAAAATTTTAACACCTTTTATACTTGAGAAAGGGGCCGAGGTGGAAGTTCTCGAAATGGAGTGTACCCAACAACAAAATGGTTTTGACTGTGGTTTACACGTTATCTGTAATACCGAAGCTCTCTGTCGGAAACAGTTCGCAAATAATCCCAACCACGTATCTGATATTGCTTCTCCAGAATCTGTTAGAAGAGCTAGAAGTGACTTGAGAAATATTATATATTCACTTCAAAAGAAATAATTTGTTATTGTGCTAATGTACTTTTCCTTGTCTTACTAATATTTCAAATTTAATATATTTAAACTTTTCTTATTAAAAATTTTTGATATAAATTTAATAATTTAAAATAATTATTAATAATATTATTACCTTCTTAACATTTATAAATTTTAATGCCTAAGAAAGTTTCTGTTAAACAATCAAAGTATAATGCTCAATTTTTAAATTTATTTATAAATGTAAAATTCAAATTGCCAGTACTGATAAATCTTGAATATTTTGTTTAATATTTATTAAACTTTGTAAAAGCACAAAGGAACTACTGTCAAACTTAACTTTTTCCATTCTAAATTATATTTCATATGAAAAAAATAACAATATAACAAAATGCTTTAAAATTTCTTCCAATTTCAGCTCAAATTCAATTAATATCTTTAAAATATTGAAATATATTTCTGCATTAAAGTAAGAAAAGAAAAATAAATTTCAAATCTAGAAATTTTAAAAATTTTAAAAAGCACAAAGGAACTACTGTCAAACTTAACTTTTTCCATTCTAAATTATATTTCATATCAAAAAAATAACAATATAACAAAAGAAAAATATGTGAGTGAAATTTAAAAAAAATACAGGGTGATCATAATTTAAGTTTCACTTTGAACCCCCTATAAAATGAAAATTACTGGACCAAATGTTTCCAAACCTAGAAATATAAAAAATATCATGTGCTTTCATAACCTGCAAAAAGTAATTAGTTTAAAAATTCACCACCAGGGGAAGTAGCACTTTATGAACACCTCAGTTTTTATGCAAATTCATATGATTTTACTACTACATCAGACATTTGTCAGGTAGATTTGATAGATGCAATTTGCCGGCATATTCATAACATTCCAGCTGACATGCTTTGAGCTATTGTAAAAAACGCAATATTGAGCTTTAACCTGGTTGCGGGAAATGGTGGACAGTACATTGAACATATACTACCATGACTATTATTTGTAAAATGTATTACGATACCAATACAAGGAATAAATCTTAATTTTCCCCCTGGTGGTGACTTTTTGAACTAATTACTTTTTTTGGAAGGTTTTGAAACCCCATGACCTCTTTTATAATATTTCCAGGTTTGGAAACATTTGGTCCAATACTTTTCATTTTATAAAAGGTTCAAAGTGAAACTTAAATTATAATCACTCTGTATTTTTACTCGGCTGATAACAGAAAATCAAAGATTCTAGGAAATATACTAATTTTGGTAAAAGACTAAAGAATTATACAATTAACTATTAGACACAGATTATAAAGAATTCTACAGACTATAAAGAATTAATCAATAAACTTGGGTAATTAATTTCAACATAAAACAAAAAATTTCAATGTGTGATAAACTATATAGGATTGAAAACAACTGAATGTTATGATATTAAAATAATTCAAAACATTTAACAAATACCAAATAAATAAAACTACTGTACTTTCAAAATAATCTACATATATAATATTTGCAAATGTATTCTTGTGAAATGAGTTCTACACTGTAATCATCCTCTTTTTTGCTCTCTTACAATATATATAGTAAAGAGTATCAAAATATTGAGAGAAAATAGAAAGCCAATCAATTCTTATTTATTATTTCCATTTCTAAAGTCTAGGAAAATGTTTATATTTCGCAATTTAAAAAATGCCAATATTTATTAAGTAATGTGCTAAGTCTCTGAAAGAGGCTATATCGATCACCAAATGCTTGTAAATATCAAAGATGTTAATTGCAGTATTTTAATCTATCAATACTATAATTTATAAACATTTTATCACATATTGTGATTTTAATAGTTTTAAAAATTACAGCACATATGAGTAATTTCTGAACTGTAATATAATACACAACAATTCTACAATAAGGTAAAGTATATTCCATATAAACTGTATAAAAGAAATATAGCATTTACTGTTTGAAAAATAAGAACAGCTAATTTAATATTGGGTATTTTGGGATTAATAAAGTCTCTTTTAAAATATGCTTAGTCTTTAAAAAATTAGACAGACTCTACTTATGCATTCTGTTAATTTAACTAGATGTCTACCAAATTAAAATACTTTAAAAATTCACTCTTACCAATCCATTTATTACGCTTATCTAAAATGTCGAAATACATAACACAGCCCTTTATTTACATATTTAATACCAAAATTACGAAAAATTTGACTTTCAAAATATCAATGAATGGAACCTGACGTCGCCCTTGTCGTTTAAAATTTAACCAATAAGAAACGGGAATATATTCACTCGTCACAAAACGTAACGAGTAAAAGTCAATCGTATCGTCCAAAATACCATGACATCATCGTCCACCATTCCGACGTTTCCTGTGACGCAATCTTCACGTCAAAAAACATAACCTATGGTCGAGCGAGACCGAAACGTTTCGGCCATTCCCGGGAGTGCCGCTCCACCCTTGCGATATATATTATTCCGGTCGCCTTCTTCATATTTCGTACGTTTAAAATATTAACAGTGGACGTAAAATTGTAGCGTAAAAAAATAATAAACAATTACCAAAAAATGAATCATTAAAGATGACAAGAAGTAAATACAGAAGAAAAATATTTTCAATTGTTTGCAATATTTAAATAATGTTAGACGTTTAATAAAGTAACGCTATGGTCTTGTTACAAATGCACGATTTTATTTTTCTTCCATAAAACATCTCCGGTTATGTCAGACGTTCGATTAAAATATCGCCAGACGTATCGTGCTTAAAGCTCGATTCTGGTTGTTTAGGAGGCGAGAGATGTTAACTGCACACTTACTTGTTCATTCCGAACGAGAAGGACGACTACGAAGACGAAGTTTTTAAGATTTCGATGCGGATGACGCGCACCAAAACATTAGAGATGGCTACACAAATTCCAGTCGGTCGCACTCTGCCGATATACTGTAGCTATCCTGTCGGCGCAGTCGTTTCCTCCTTTCCGTACCCATCCCGGTATTTATATCTCGCGCTCACCCCTCCCTTGGAAAAGTGGACCGTCCCCGTTCGGCCATCTTAGTTGTTGTGGTTGGTGTGCTTAGCATGAAGTTAAAATGCAACAAAATCTACTCTTTCTTTATATAGCTAAATAAAAACATTAAGGATTTATATCGATTACGATAATTACGGTAATGGATGGATAGTGCCTTCAATTCGAATGTCGTCGGTAGGTCCTAATTCTCACTTGTCTTCTACCACAACACTCGTTAGGCTTAAGATTTACATTACGTTCAGCGTCGTTCTACATATAATATATACATTTTTATCAAATTTTCCGAACGTAATAAAGACATTTCGTTACTCGTTTCGCAATTATTTCAAAAATAAATGAATTTCTTAAATTATCTATCCCGTTTCCTCTCCCACCTATTAGGCTTAAAGGGACATTACTAAGCCTAACGCGTTAAGGGGACGCTGAACTTCCAGTTAGGCTTAACTTGAAAGAGAATCAAAATAAAACTTTTACGTTAATGTGAAAATTTCTTTGCATTATATTAAAGAAAAAAAAACCTTTCTTAAATCGCGTTAAAACCCGAGCGAAAATATTGTCGGATAAAAAGTATACAATGTTAATAATATAGGACATATATGCAAAATAAATAGACTATTTATTACTTATAAATAAAAAAAAATAAACAATCGTAGATCGAATCGACTTATTAAATATGATGTTTGGTTTAGACTAGCGATCGACTAAATTATATCTAAAATATGTTTTCATTTTCTCTTACTTTTTCTAATTTTTTAAAAATTATTTATTCACGCTACAAATATTTGCAATATAGATCGATGTTTTAAGTTAATATGAATTAAGTGATGATGTAGTTATTATTTATTGATTTTTTTTCTCAATTTTAATGCAATTTGGTATTACATTATGATTGTGTTACTTTAATATATGTTACTTTTTGCATTTAAAGAAGTACTGTGTGTGTGTATATATATATATATATATAAATAATGTTACAAGATTATTACAGAACATTTTTTATACATGTAATTTAAATTAGTGCAAGTATTTAACTTATGTTGTATATATTTTTCTAGTTTATGTTAGTAAGTTTATCTAAGCTATGGAAATAATAATATTTTCTGTAGTATTTTGTTGCAGGCCTACTACTAGTTGAACTTATACAAGCTCATTAACTAGCAACTTATAAATCTTCAACCAATTGTCAATATATTTTTTGGGAGAATGTTTTACAGAAATATGATGATGTCCTAAACTGATTAGTTATTGTAGAAAGTATTTCATATCTAAGAATTACTATTTGTTCAAATTTTTTGAATAAATCTATCCGTTGGATAATGTTAAAAAGGCAAAATGTGCAGAAGAAAGAAATTTTAGTATAATGCTATTAAATAAAAAATACCTAAAGATGATGAGCAGATAATATTTAATTATACTAAGGCAATTTTTTGTTATATATTTACATGCTTAAGATATATACTTGTAAAATTATATGCATATGGAAATATTTGGTCTAAATGGACAAATAAGATAAAAAATATTATAAAATCAAATAATTTCATAAGTAATTCAGTGTAATAGTAATAAATAATATAGAATTTATTAGTTTCAAAATATTTACATGTCACTTTATTATAAATAAATGAAATTTTTAAGAACTTTGCACAATATTTGCTTAAATATAATTATTATTTACTACATATACAGCCATTAAATGCTATTGGCCTAGAGCAGGACTTGAGCCCACAACAACTGCATACTGTGTGAACGTGTTGCTGGTTATGCTACCCAGACCTTGGTCTGATCTTTACCTCTGTGCAGGAATTGCAGGCTCGAGTCCTGTTCTGGACTGATTCTTTTTCTTCCTTAATTATATATTATAGAACGTCCTTAATTATATATTATACATTAAATATAAGTAGCTGGATTTGGTATCTAAACATCAGGTCTCTCTCAGTGGTCTGAAATATTTAGAAACTATTTATACAGAATAGATATTATTTTTAGACAGAATATGCACTGTTTCAAGTAGTACCATCTTCTGTAGCATATGAGTATTGATTCTATTGAGCTATAAATTCTTCATAATAATAAGAACACACCTGAATTCTATTTGCCAAGTTTTTTCTCTTTATTTCAAATGTTTTCAGCCTATTTGGATAGGCCATCTTCAGGTTTTCGTTCATCGGTCCAAAATGGAACCAACTGAACCAAATTCTTCAGATGATGATCTAGATCCCTTAGAATATCTTTTTGTGCTTCAATTACAATTTGAACTATGATTATTTTTTCTGTAGTTTATCTTTAATTTGTAGACCCTCATATTTAGTGACTTTCCGTAATTCTTTCTCCTGCATCTTAAATTGTAATGTCTAAAATTCATATCTTCATTTTTTCTGTTAATGCAATATTGGGTTGTTTGGAAAGTAATTTTTTTTTTCATGGAAGGGAGGGAAAAAACAATTTTCTTAAAATCCCGTGTTTTTGATGAAGTCTGAACATCAGTGTTTTTGATAAATATTGGCTTTTGAAGTGCTTTGAGCTGGCTCATCTCTTCTACTCCGTGACCGCTTGCATTCGACACTGTTATAAACAATCCATTTTTTGTCTCCAGTTATGATTTGCTTCAAAAATGGATAATTGACGTTAGAGAAGCAAATCACAGATGTCAATGTGACAGAGGAAATCTCTTTCTTTAAGAACATGTGGAACCCATATATCTAGCTTTGAAATGGAACCAAGTTGTTTCAAGTGATCATAAACAGTTGAATTAGACAAATTTAATATCTTAGTGATTTTTTGTGTTGTTATTTGGCAGTCTTCTTCAATTAATACCTTTATTTTGTCTTCATCACCTTCAACTGGCCTTCCAGAACATGGTGCATCTTCAATATCAAAATTGCTGGAACGAAATTTTGCGAACCAGTTTTGGCATTGTCGTTCAATCAATACATCTTCTCCATAAATGTTACACAAATTTTTTCTTGCTTGAACAGCATTCTTACCTTTTCGATAATAACAAAACAAAATATGCTGAAAATTCTGCTTTCAATTTTCCATATTTGATGAGACACCAAAAAAAAAAAAAAAATTGCATAGAATTAAACAAAATTTTTTACAAATAAGTCTTGAAATGTCATCTGCCAAAATATATAATGACAATATGATTTAGAATGAAATTGGTGAGTAAAAATACAACTAATTCCTCTGATGGTAAAAAAATGAAATTACTTTCCAAACAATCCAATATATGGAGTGTTATGAACCACATGTTTATCTGAATAATTTGTGTTATTAGTGAATTGTATCCTAAGTGATTAATATCAGTACCTAGTGTTATACCAGACCAAGGTCAAGGTATAACCAAGGCCACTTGATCGCTTCGCTAGTAAGGCCGTCTGCCGTAAGGAAAATTGCCGTATTCACACAGTTTCCATTTTTTGGCGCTAGTTATCGGTGAGAATCGTCTGTTGAGTAAATTGGTCGTTTTGTACTTTTGTGTGCGAGTATAGCTATTTTATGAAATTGTGATAATTACATATAGTTATAGTTGTATTTAGTTATACTTATTCGTGAGTTATATACGGTTGACGGGATTTCTCTTCAACAGCAGCTTGGTATATAGATATAAATACATTCATTGTGTGGTCAAACTGTGGAAAAAGTTCTCAGACTGCATCATAAGCCCATTTCTAGAAAAATATTAAAAGTCTAATGTTGTCTAATTCATATTGTAAATTTCTGATGAGGAGGAAGCTAAGTACATTTCTGGTCTTTGACTGAATTTTACAAACTGTAAAATTCAGTCAAAAACAGTGTACACTTTATTCAATAAATTAATTTTTCTTATGTAATAAGCTTTTGCTTTTTCTATAAAGAATTTTATTTATATTAGAGATGTAAACTGAAGCAATGTTACTTTTACCATAGTTATACTTTTAATTTCAACTTTAAAACAATATATGTTGCTTTTGTTCACATTTCTGTGTACTTCTCCAATATTAATTATAATAAGTTCTTACCTTCAATATCACCATATTTCCGTGCATATTTTTCGAAATTTTTTTACTAACTAAAAACTTTGCTTATTTTTGCAAAAAAATAAGCAAATTTTTTCGAAAGGTTATATCGGTATTTATTCTTACAGTCTTGATTAACAAAAGTAATAATTTTATAACAGATTTAATACACAACATTTTAATAATTATCATATATGGTCCGAAAATGTGAAAATTTTTATAGTAGACAGTGCATACTGTAGGTAACCTAGTTTTGCTAATTTTGCATACTTTTCGAGTAAAAAAAATATTTACATTAACGATTAACTACTGGTATCTTTAAGAATCGAAAAGAGATGATTAAATAGTATTAATGTGAAAAAGTTTGTATTTTCCATGCCAATAATACTCAGTTATTATTTCTTCCTAAAAACGTCTTATGAAAATAAAGTGAAAAATACTGTTATTATTATTTCGCTTTTTTCACAAACTAGGGAACATCGTTTGCAGCAGCTCATTTCTTAATTGTCAAAAGTTTTCAACCTGCTTTAATGAGAAAAATATTTAAATGCAGCGACGTCTCCAAACTCCTCTATACTCTCCACCTGAATCGCTGACAATGGATGTCACCGATCGTCAGCGCCACAAGCGGAGAAAATATTAACTAGCGTCTATACGCTCGGTCCCATAGAGAGAGATAGTTGGCGGACGGCCTTACTAGCGAAGCGATCAAGTGGCCTTGGTATAACTATGAAAAAAGCTGTTATTTCATTGGTTTATGTTTCTATATTTAAAAATTTTCTTGTAATGTGTTTAATATAGCAGCTTTCTGTAATTTGATATATGTATTATTAGGCCTTGTGGTCAGTTTGTAAATATTTACTGTAATTTCATGTGGATAACTGGCAGATTATCTGTGTTTAAAAGGTAGTTTGAAAATGGGAAAATGGATTATATGCTGATTTTAAATTACAATTATAAACATATCAGACAGCACATCTGACATATCGTCTGTCTAAATTTACAGAACATTAGATGTCTTAGAACATTAGAACAAAGAATTTGGCATGTTTTAACTTGACAAATTCTTTGTGCATTGCAAATATAGTCTTCTGCTATCACAATTTTTCCTGAAACCAAGAAAAGATACATATGTGCATACTTTGTCATTAATTCTCTTCTATTCATTTCTGTACA